TAAAAAAAATGAAAGAATTAAAGAAATAAAAATATACAAGTCTAATTACGTCAATGAAGCCTATTTTTTCTGTTTTGTTTGTTGTTGTCGTCCAAGTTTTTATTTTTTCTTAGTTTTTAAAGACTATACTTATGGATGGATGACCATCCAACTAAAAATCGTTTTTTCTATTCAATTACCAGTCAGGTGTTAGAAAAACAACAACAACAAAAAATTGACTAAAAAATTACTAAAAGCTTTCTTGAGCGGTCCATCTGCAAGATAAATCAAGCAAATATGAGGGGAACAACACCGCCCACAAATTGGATTAAAAACGTTAAATCTTGCAGATGAATCATTCCAAATTTTTTATTTTAAAAATTAATAAAATAAAAAAATTTATTAAAGTTTTCGTTCATCTCCTCTTATGATAAATGAATGAAAAGGAAAAATAATTTTTTCAAATTGGTCAAAGGTAAGAAAAGTTGTGGCTTAAAAATATAACAATCGCTAGTAAAATGAAGCAAAAAATTTTTTTAAAAATTTAAATGAGAAGATGAAGCATTTACCTGTATATTTTAATTATTTATATAGGTAAAAATAAACGGAAATGGGGGGAAAGATAATTAATAAATAGAATTTCTATTTTTAGAGTATTTTTAGTGTTTAAAAATAATTATTAAAATAAAAAATTTTGAAAAAAAAATTCTAAAAAAATTAGAAACAAAAATCAAAAATGGAAACAAAAAATAAATAAAATAAAATGAAAAATGCAAAATAAAGAGCTCTTAATATTAAACAAAAAAAAAATTTTTTTAAACAAAAAAAAAATTTTTTTCCTCAACAAATAATGAGTGAGAAAACAACAAAATTTCGAGCAAAAATTAAACGAGTTTCTTGTTCTTAAAAAATTTTTTACTAAAATAGGGAAAAATAATAAAATTTAAAAATAAACGAAGGAAAATGAAGGACAGACTAAAAATAATATTTTCAAATTTTTGCTCTAAATTTGAAATAAAATTTTTAAAGGAGTGTTCTCGATAAAATTTTTGTTTCTTTTTTGGGTGTGTTAAAGATGAAAAAGAAAAAAAATTTTAAAGAAGAAAAAATATTTTTAATATGTTGCAGAAAAAGAGCAAAACACACAAAAAAATTATTCTAAGAAAAAATAATAAAAAAATTATTTTAATGGACATCCGCTTAAAACAAATTAAAAGGGGGCCAAATTTTTATTTAATTTAATCATAGAAAATAGAAATTAAGACGATTTTAATTTAATAAACAAAGGCGTTTAAAATTCATGAAAAATTGAGGACAGTAAAAATAGAAAAATACAACTTGCAGACAAAATTTGCGGACAAAAGTCAAAACTTGCGGACAACGCGAAAATAAGTTGCAGACAAAATTTACGGACAAACATTAAAACTTGCGGACAACGCAAAAATAAGTTGCAGACAAAATTTGCGGACAAATAGAAATAATATGCGGACACGCTTAACGAATAAAAAAAAAGAAATTAGCGGATAAATACAAAGTTTTGCGTAAACCCGCGAAAAAAAATAAAAAATTGAAGTATGCAAAAAATAAAGGATTAGAGGGGGAATTAAATATTCCCTCTAAATAAATTTTGTAAACAAAAACAAAAGCTCTTCCCCTTCTAAAAAAATTTTTTTTTCTCCCACAACTCTAACTTTACACACAATTCCAGTGTCCGCAAAAATTAATTTTTTTTAAATTTTATATCAAAAAATGTCAACAGATGGTCCAGAAAAAAAATTTTTTTTTGACTTATCAAGAGAGAAAAGGAAGGGAAAAAATATAGAGGAAGAAAATAAAAAATATAGGTATACATATCGGTTGCCCAGCAGCAAAAAAAAGAAGAAAAAATAAAGAGAGTAAATAGAGAAGCAAAAAAAAATATTTAAAAAATTGTGGGAAAGGATTTCGAAATGAAGAGGGGATTATCGCAAAAAATATATTAATTTCTTAAAATGGCTAAAACTAAGTAAAAAATTTTGAAAAATTTATCGAAAGGGCTCTTAACTAAGCAAAAATGAATATTTTTAAAATGAGAGTAGGCACAAGAAAATATACCGAAAAATAATGTTATCCCAAGTTTGGATAGTTGAGCACCCGTCTAGAGGGTTACGACTAGTGTTCGGCACGGTACGGTATACCGCGGTATTTTTCCCGGTATACCGCGGTATTTTTTTCCGGTATACCGATACCGTACCGGTCAAATTTTGAAAAAAACGGTATTTTTCGGTATCGGTATTTTTTCGGTATACCGATACCGAAACCGTACCGGTCCTCGAAAAAATACCGCGGTATTTTCCGGTATTTCGGTATTTGTGATACCCCTATCTGCGGCGCAATAAGGAAGATTTTTGGCTTAAGGATCTTCCAAATTTCTCAAAATTTTCGCCTGCGGCGCTGAAAAAGGAAGAAATTCTGTCTTTGGCCTTCCAAATTTCTCAAAATTTTCGCCTGCGGCGCTGAAAACAAAGACTTATGTGTATATTGCAGGTTGTGAATGGACTTGGGTGGATTTTAGTGATAGTCGGATATTTCAAGGGAAGGATCTGGCCTTCCGGAACTTGGGTGTTCCTCTTGGCCTTCATAAATTTTCAAAATTTAAGCCAGCGGAGCGAAAAGAGAGGGATAGAGCTACGGATCTCGTGATCCCCGAAATAATATTATCCATTCATTTAATATTATCCATTCAATAATATTATCCATTCAATCCCCGAAATAATATTATCCATTCATTTAATATTATCCATTCAATAATATTATCCATTCAATCCCCGAAATAATATTATCCATTCATTTTCCACCCGGAGCCCGGAGCCAGCATTGATCATGGGCGTATCATGGAATTTTGTCGGATTAAGAGGGATATAGGCGGATTAAGAAAATAAATGGGATTTGGATGATGATCCACTGCATCACTGTCAACCCAATACCTAGCACTGACTCGGGTTTTTCTCAAATACTCGGACTCGGACATACTCTAGTTTGAATCCTGATACAGCAGAAAAAATCGTTTTTCTTTTAATAAAATTTACCATTTTTAAATTACAAATATTAAAATTATGTTCATTTTTCGAATTTTATTGTTAAGATTTTAAAAATAAAATTTAAAAAAATTTTATAAAATTTTTAAAAAATACCGAATACCGGCCGGTATACCGAAAATGTTGAGACGGTATTTTCCGGTATCGGTATTTTTCCGGTATACCGATACCGATACCGTACCGGTCAATTTTTGTAAAAAACGGTATTTTTCGGTATCGGTATTTTTTTGGTATACCGATACCGAATACCGGAAAAGGTCATTTGCCGAACACTAGTTACGACCTACGTCGGGTCGGAACCCTCTTCCCAAAAAACTATTGCTCGTTTATAAAGGCCAATCGATTTAACATACACCTGAGAAGAAATCCCAGATAAACAACCCCGTTCCCACGCCAGTCATGTTTTAAAATGACGGAGTATGTAAAATCGAGGCCTTATTTTATCAAAAAACAAAAAAAAATTTAAAAACCTATTCACATATCCATTGACTCAATAAAGTTGATTTAATAGAACAAGTCTCCAGTTTAAACGTCTTCTTGCTTTTGTGAGCTTCTCAAATTTCAATTACTCAATAAACCTGAAATATTTAAAAAAGCATTAAAATATATTTCTTTTCTATTTTTAAAAATACTAAAAATAAAGTAATTGATATGTAAAAATTATTTACTAATTAATACACACATTTTTATTCTATAAAATTAAAAAAAAATTTTTGCGGACAAAACTTGCGGACAATGCAAAAATTTGCGGACAATCATAAAATTAAACATTTCAGTTTTCTTGAATAAATTAAACAAAGGCAAGTGTATTTTTAAGTAAATGAGTGGAATATAAGGTTATATTAATTTATAATACCAAAAAACGTCGAAATACCAAAAAACCGGTACTTGTGTAGTTTACCCCCCATAAGCCCCGCCCCTAATTCTTTCATCCTTTTCTTTCACTCCTCTTCCAATAAAATGAAATTTGGGTCAATATTTTCATAGACATTTTCTTATAAAGAAAAGGAAAATAGGGCAGAGGGGCGGGGCTTATGGGGTGTAAACTACACAAGTAGCCAAAAACCGTTGAAATGCCAAACTGACAGCGGCTTTTGTTTGGTATTTCGGTGTTTGGTATAACGAGTCTCGGAATATAAGAATGAATAAAAAATGGCATGAATAAATGAGATTTTATAGGAGAGCATAAATTACTCGATTTTTAAAAATTACCAGAAAAAATTTTTTTGAAAAATTCCGGAAATTTTTAAAAAATTTTTGAACAGAAAAATCGAGTAAAACAAAAAATAGAACTTTTTTTAATTTAAAAAAGAAATGACAAAAATTTAATAAATATTTTTGCACGTTTAAAAAAAAAGAAGAGAAAAAAAGGAAAAAATAAAATTTTTGCGGACAAAACTTGCGGACAATATGTAGATATATAAATTGTAAAGGTGAGGAGTAATTTTCTGGTAATAATAAAGTGATTATTAAATTTATAATGCACACCAGGGGATAATACTAATACTATTTTAATAAAAAGCAAATTCTAAAAATTTTCTAAAAATTTCAAAAAAAATTTTCAGAAATTTTTTAATTTTTAGTGAATGCCTTTTTCTTCCCAATTTTTGATACTAGTAATTTGGAGTCTTCTCAGTTATGTTACCACCTTCCGCAATTTTTATCCGCAAAATTCCAGTTTGGTATTTCGACGGTTTTAGTGGTTTGGTATTAAGGGTTTTTGCCCAAACCCTTCCCCAAATTTTTTCCCTTTCCCCATTTCGAGAGGGGGAATTCGCCCATACCCCATGGTTACGGGCCTGGCTACATAAAATAATCAGTAATAGAAAAAATATTATTTGCGGACAAAAAATATTTGCGGATAAAAATTGCGGACTTCCGGGAACGTAACTGAAAGTCCCCTAAAAAAGTCTTAAAAAATTCATTTTTAAACAAATTCAACCTTCAACCATCCTTTTCCATTTTAATTCCTCTCTTAGCCCGCTTCCTTCCAATCCCAGTTGTTGATGTCGCAACAACTTTTTTCCTTTTTTGTGGAGTAATTTCACTACGTCGAGCTTTGCGTAAACGCTTGTGAGGGCTTGGAAGTGAAGTAGAGGAAGAAGGTAATGTTGATGTTGAAACTGTTGGTTTCTGAAAAAATGAGTAAAAATTATATAAGAATAGAATATGGAAATCTCAAAATATGGAAATTAATGCCCTACATTATGGTACCAACTAGAGACCGAGCTGGGTCTGGATCAAGGCCTGAGTTTTCCTTGTACTCAGAGTCCAGTCCTAGGCATTTTTTTACCTTCCTGGGTTTTTCCTGGGCCTGGGGGTTTCCTAAACTACAGGCCTAGGTCAATAAATCAAACCCAGAACCCAGGAAAAGGCCCAGGCCTTTGAAAAATCTCGATCTCTAGTACCAACCCTTAGGCGAAAATTTTGGAAGGGCATAAGCGAAAATTTCACTTTTTCCATCATCCTTCTCTCAATATTTAGAGAAGGATGGTGAGAGAGTGATCGAGACCACCTCCTTTCGATATGCCCTTGATTAAGAATAGTTTTCTTACGCGTTCCAGACCTTTACAAAATTCAAGGAAAAATATGGATCCTTGAAAAAATAAGGATGACAAAAAATCCCAACTTCAAATTTCAAGGACAATGGTTAATCTACCCCTCTCAAACATTAAAAATCTTATTTAAAAATTAAAAACCTCCTCTTCATGTACATCATCCAATTCACTAGTGGATGGAACACATCCTTTCGCCTTTGAAGTAATTGTTGTTTTAACCACTTTTTCATGTCCAATTTTCAAATTTGATTGCTTGGTAACCTTTGCTGGATGAATAAATAATGAACGAGAAACTCCGGAAGCTCCAACAGTTTTTGTATGGTAAAAAGAAGGGACCTAAAATTTTTTGTTAGATATTTTGACTAACAATTAGGGATGTCATTGGACGAGAAAAACAGAAGGGTTGGAGTTTTCGAAGAATTTTGAGATCGGTTTTCGGGTAAAAAAAAGTCAGGGGTTCGTGTTGGGGGGGGGCTAAAAGTGGAAAAACATATTTCAACTTACAACTAGGCATGACATGGAATGAAAAAACACTAGGGTTGGAGCTTTCTAAAAATTTCTCGGGTCGGATTTCGAGTCTAAAAAGACGGGGTGTCGTGTTGAGGTTTCAAAAATTTCTTTGAGATCATTTTCGGGGCGAGAAGGTCCAGGTTTGAGGTATTGTGTAACCCTTGACATCCTTTCTTCCAAAAAGTCAGAGCTTCATGTTAGGGTTCACGAAACTTCTGGGGTCAGTTTCGAAACGAAAAAAGCCCGTGTTTCGGTATTATGTAACCCTTGACATCCCTTCCCTCCAAACTCTTAAAAATAAACCTTCTCCTCGTTCACCGCTTCGTAAACATGACTAGTCGAAGTTTCGTTAGTATCCAGAGGTTTGTCTTCTCGAAAATCGAAATTCCATTTTTTAACTTTTTCTTCCATATTTTTGTTTTCCAACTCTAAAAATCATCAAAATAAATTTTAAAAGTACTCCAAACAAAAACAAACCTTTTAACCATTCGTCCGTCTCAGGCGCCCGTCCAGACCCAAACAAAGAACGGCGTGAACTTCGCTTTGCTAATCCATCCATTAAAGGGCAAATAATGTTAAAAAGAATGTTAATAAGCTAAAAAAGAGATTAACGTCAAAAAACAAAAAAGTATTTAAAAACGATGAATCATCCAATCCTTTAGAAAAATCAATAAATAAAGCGGAACAGGATCATTGAGTCCCGCCGGTTGAGTCCCGAAGCCATATTTTGGACCATAACTTTTCCAATTCTTAATCGGTTTAGTTAATTAATATAGTGATCGAGAGCTCTTGATGTAAGGATTATTTTATCTAACAGGATTGATCTAATCAGATCAACTCACAAAAAGTTACAGCCTAATAAATATCAAAAATCACGATTTCGCGCACTTAACTAGATGTAACTTTTTGTAAGTTGATCTGATCAAATCAATCTAGTTGGCGAAAATAATCCACACATCCAGGGCTTTCGAATGATAAAAAATTTATTCTAATTTGTTGAAAAGTCAAAAAGTTATGGCCCAAAATATGGCCCAGGGACTCAACCGGCGGGACTCAATGACCCATATAAAGGGACACGCCCAATTAGGCGCGCGGCCATAACGGCGCAAAGCCATAACTTGCTCCAAGATATCCGAATCTTACCAAATTTAGTGTTAAACGATTCCTCTCATCGAGCTAAAGAGATTGGTACCTAAATTGATTTGGGACAGAAATTTTAAAGGCAGTTATGGCTTTGCACCGTTATGGCTGTGCGCCTAATTGGCCTCCCATAAATTAAAAATAAAATTGGCATTATGTTTATTAAATTTAATTTAAAATATAGACAGTATTTTTGCGGAAAAATTTAAAAAAAAACTAGAAAAGCTAGAAAAAAAGAAATTTATGAGGGTCAAACAAATCGAAAATTTCCAAAAAAAATCCCCCACTAATCAGTAGATTTCTATAAACCTTAATTTACTATTAGATGACATTTGATCCCACAAGAAATTTGGTGTGTACAGTCTGAGGACAGACATAGGAGAAAGGTCTCTAAGAAATCTTTTTCCGAGTCAGTCCCGAAACTATAGATTAACTCTATGTTTTACAAAAATCCCTCGACAGAAATGTTTATCCCCAAATATTCAATCCTCAGACAGAGCCCAAATATTTGAAAAACCCAAATTTCGATGCAGCTCTGTCTTCCCAACTAGGGTTGTTCCTCGACGGGGGAGGGGCGACGGGGATAGGGAAAATTCCTTTTTTCACGGAGGGGAGCGGGGAATTTTCAAAAAAAAAACTCTCAAATTCCACGACTTTCGGGGACGGGGAACACACCTAATCTCCAGCTATATACATAATTATTTTTAATTATATTTACAAATTTAAACCTCTAATATAGAAAAATAATTTTTTAAACTCCTTCACTTTCCTTGATTTATTCCTTCCCTTCCTCCTCATCCTTTTCTTCAGGTATTGGAGTTATTGTGGTCAAATTATTTTTATTCTGTTGTTCCCCTCCAATTACTTTAGATATTGCAGCGGCTATAGCCATACTTCCCGCTGCTGTTTTTATAAGTGAATTTTTTCCGTGTCCTGTTGTGGCTAGAAGAATGTCAGGGATGCCTTCCTTTAAATTAAAAAAAATTTTCAAATTTCGTGATTTTTTCAAAAATTTTTTTTAGAAAATATTCGAAAATTTCTAGAGAATTTTTTGGAAAATTTTAAAAATTTCTTGATTTTTTCTAGAGAATTTTTGAATTTTTTTTGGAAAATTTTTGAAAAATTAAAAAAAATTTTTTTCTGAAATTTTCTAAAAAAATTTCCCCTAAATTTCCTTTTAAAAATAAACCTCAAAATCTTCAATATCATCATTTTCTTCATCAGATATAGTTGTAGATGAATCAGCAGTTGCTATAGAACCCTTAGCTGCTGGATGGATTACTCCACTCTTCTTTTTCTTTTTTGTTCCTTTTTTGAGTTGTTCTACGATTTCGTGGATTTCACGGCCTAAAAAAAAAATTTTTTTTTAATATGTGTCAATACCCTTTGGTTTATCTCACCCTTCAGGACAGTTCCTAATCGGGATAATTTGGAGATTTGGATACTTCGGAAGTACAGGATGTGTAAAGGATTATTATAAAAGGAGTTTAGCACTAGGTTACCCACCGGGCAGGACATGCGACCTCCTCGTAGTTATTGCTAGGCGCTTTCACTTTCCGCTTATAGGAGCTCTACCGGTGAGCTACTAGAGCAACGACTAATGCTTTCTTATTTTCCTTTAGATAGTTTAACCCCCGCCAAAGTGTTTTAAATGCGCTAAGTGAATCATCCTTACATTATAGATGAGAAATCAGGGTACAAGAACGCTGTGATAATTGAAAGCTGGGAATAAATAAAAAAAGATGGGATAGGGAGTTTGACAGGAGACATGTCTTAAGGTAAATTTAAGGAAAAAATAGAGGTGGATAAATAAAAGAAATTAAAATAAATTCAAAAAAACCTTTAGTTTCAGGCAATTCTTTAATCAAATAACAAATTGAAATAGTTGAGGGAATGATAAATCTTGAAGAAAAATTTTTTTAATTAAAAAAAATAAAAAATTTACAGAGGTATAAAAGACCAGACATCGATTATTTCCTGAATTAAAAAAATTAAAATTAAGAAAAAAAATTTTAAAGGAATACATATAAGGGTAAGGTGATGAAAGAGAAGACAAAATTGATAATCTAAAAAATAAAAAAAATTTTTGAAAAAATTTAAAAAATTTTTTTTAACCCTAAAAAATTTTTAAAAAATTTTCAAAAATTTTTTAACCACTAAAAAATTTCTAAAAATTTTTTCGAGCCTAAAAAAAATTTTTTTTTTAAATTTCTAAAAATTTTCAAAAATTTTTCAATAAATTTTTCAAAAAAATTTCTAAAAATTTTTCAAATTAAAAAAAATTTCTAAAAAATTTCTAAAAATTTTAAATAATTTTTCAAAGAAAAACCGTGTTAGTCATAAAAACAATAGATTGCACAAGTGAACGAAATCTTTGGGGAACAAGTTCTGAAGTGATAAAAAATGCTATTGGGCCAAGAGCAGCTCCATAGGTTATTCCATAGGCTATTAAGGAGAAAACACAGCCATATTTGAATTGGGGGTTGACGAAGAAAATTGATACTTTAAAAAAAATTTTTTTAAAAAAATTTTCAGAAATTTTTGAAAATCCCCCCAAAATTTTTTTTTTAATTTTTGAGGATTTTTTGTAATTTTTTCGAGTACTTAAGTTACCGTATTTAAAAAATTATTTTTAAGGCCTAAAAATTTTTAAAAAATTTTTCGAATTAAAAAAATTCCAAAAAAATTTTTTGAGGATTTTTTCGAGTACTTAAGTTTCCGTAAACTTAATGAAATATTGTAAACTTAAGTTTTCCGGAAACGTTAAATTAATGCTAACTCGAGTTTCCGGAAGTAAAAAAAATAAAATGTTTCCGGAAACGTTTTGAGGATTTTTTAGAGATAAAAAAATTTTTTTACTGATTTTTGTAATTCAAAAAATCCTTAAAAATTTTTTCAGAATTTTTTCGAGCCTAAAAATTTTCAAAAAAATTTCCAATTATTTTTTTAACTCAGAAAAATTTTAAAAAATTATTTACTTTGACTAGTCATTCTATCAAATAAAATATAAGAACATAAACATAATGTATTTGCTATCCCACACCATATTAACATTGGACGTCTACCAAACCTTTTTTAAATTAAATTTAAAAAAGAAAAATTAATTTAATTTAAGCCTAGTTTTCAAACTTGATTTAGTTCCGTTAACTTAAGTTTTCCGGAAAATAAAAAATAAATTTACGGTACTTAATTAAAGAATGTAATATAAATTTAAGTTTCCGGAAAAAAGAAATTTCCGGAATTATTAAAATATTAATATGAACAAGAGTTTCCGGAAAAATGAAGTTTTCCGGAAATTTATTAAAATAAATAATATAAACTTAAGTTTCCGGATAGTTTAATATTTTCTAGAAAATAAGTTTCCGGAAACATTAATTAAATTACTAATATAAACTTAAGTTTCCGGAAGTAAAAATGTTTCCGGAAATTTATTAAAATAAATAACGTAAACTTAAGTTTCCGGATAGTTAAATATTTTTCTAGAAAATAAGTTTCCGGAAAACTTAAAAACTTAAGTTTCCGGAAACACTAATAAAAATGATAGAAACAAGATTTCAGGAAAAATAAGTTTTCCGGAAACTTAAAATACCTAATATAAACTTAAGTTTCCGGAAAACTTAAAACTTAAGTTTCCGGAATTTAATTTAAAAATAATTTTAACTTTTCAACACTACAAGTCCCAATAACTGAAGCAACAAAATTCGCGCAAATAAAAGCAAATGAGGAATACTGTAAATAATTTAAATTTTAAATTTAATTTAATTAAAATCAACTTGACTAGCATTAGCATCGAAATGGGCTTCTAACAAATCTGTAGATATGTAAATTATTGGCCAAATACCAACTAAAATTTGTAAAAATTAGGAAAAAATAAGCTAAATTTAATTTAAAAATTAAAAAAATTTTTTTTTAAATTCTCAGAAAAAATTTTGAAAAAATTTCGAAAATTTTCCAAAAAAATTAAAAAAATTTTTTTTTGAATTTTTGAAAAAATTTTTTTATTTTCAAAATTTCAAAAAAAAAATTCGAAAAAAATTCTAAAATTTTTTTAAAAATTTCCCAACCCCTCATTAAATTAAATTAATTCACCAATAATTTGTAAAGACAACGTCCCAATAATAAACGCTTTCCGTAAATGTGGTTGTTTTAATATTTGAATTAACGCTTTAATTAAAGAAATATTATGTCCTCCTCCCCCTTCTTTTCTTTTATGTCCACAATTGTCAGATTCTTTTAATATTTCATTTATAGCAATTTGGTGATTGTCTGGTTGCTTTCCTAATAAATTTAAAAAATTTCCGGAAAACTTGTTTTTCCGGAAATTTTGTTTCTATTATTTTAATTAGTGTTTCCGGAAACTTAAGTTTCTAAGTTTTACGGAAACTTATTTTCTAAAAATATTAAACTATCCGGAAACTTAAGTTTATATTACTTATTTAATAAATTTCCGGAAACATTTTTACTTCCGGAAAGCGTGTTTTTATTATTTAAATTAGTGTTTCCGGAAACTTAAGTTTCTAAGTTTTCCGGAAACTTAAGTTTATATTATTTATTTTATTAGGCTTCCGTAAACTTACGGAAAACTTGTTTCTATTATTTTAATTAGTGTTTCCGGAAACTTAAGTTTATTAGGTATTTTAATAAATTTCCGGAAAACTTCTTTTTCCTGAAATTTATTCCTTTTCCGGAAACTTAAATTTATATAACTTTAATTGTTCCGGAAACTTAAGTTTCGAAAATTTTCTTTCATTATTTCAGCTATATACATATAACGGCTAACTTAAAAAATTAATTTTAAAATTAAAAAAATTAATATATATTTTAAAAATTTTCTTAACTCAAAAATACCCCAATCTAACCTTGATAAAATTCCAATGACTTAATTGCCGCTTTTCTATCATTTCGATTTAATAATAAAAATTTTGGAGATTCACGTAACGGGAGAACAATGAAAATAGACAAAATGCCAGGAATGGCTCCAAAACCTAAAAATAAAAATTTTTCAAAAAATTTTCAAAAATTTTTAAAAATTAAAAAAAATACCAACAAGAGCCAACAAATTTCTCCCCAACATTAGATCCATTCCCATACCCATTCCGATAACGCTAACAGCAATGTAGGAAACTTAGTAAAATTTTAGATTCGATTCAATTATAAATTAACCTTCACTCAAAAAGCTACATGTTCCTCTCAATTGTGTTGGTGTTGTCTCCTTAAAAAACATCACGTACGCATTTATTATATATAACAGGTCCCGCCTAGTAAGGGTCAAAAATATTCGTCGAGGGGTCAACCCAAAAGACTTACACCCAGAAGACCTCTCCCAAAAGACCTACTGGCACAAAAGACCTAAAACTTTTGAAAGGGAATATCTAAAGATTTGGAGGGATTAAGGGAATATCGATGGCCTTAGTGTGACTGAAGGGGATAGAGATCTCTACCAACCCAGAGTTATGGTACACACTCAAAATACGGCACCATTGATTCTAAAATACAGACTGGGTACTTATCTTCGTAGAGCTGGGTATTTATCCTCCATAACCCCTCTAAATCCTTGATAAATCCTCGATTTATCGTTTTTTCAAAAATTTACTTGAATAAAAAGAATTAGAGACCCAAAAGAAAGTCCTGAACCAACAGCAGCAAAAATTCTACCAAAAATTAACAATTCAGGAATTTCTAGAAAAATGGCTAAAAACATATCCAGTTACATTTAAAAATAAAATTTAAATCACCAGCTATAGTAATTAAAGTTCCAAGTAAGGAAATACAATTGGCTAGACATAGACTGTCTGGAAAGTACAAAAAATAAATTTTAAAAATTATTTTTTTGCCATTACAATGTACTTTCCTTTCAATGAGAAAGGGAAAAAAATTTTATTATGAAATATGGACCCAATTTTACTTTAAGATTTTATCATTTTTGGCTACTTAGTAGTAAACAAAATTAATAATTTTAAACTACTTTTTTAAATTTTTAAATTAATTTTCTGAAATTTATTTTATGATGAAACTTGATAGAATATTAATAATTTTAATCGTCAATGCGATATTTTGGAGCTTAATTAATTCTGTTAAAAATAATAAAGATAAAAATGAGTTAATTAAAGTTGGGGAAACCTCAAAGGATAACGATGGAGCTGAATCATCGGTTAATGCTCAAATTCGAACGTTGAAACCAATACCAATAATTACAAAAAAGGGCAAAAATAAAGATAATAAAGAAGAGAAAAAGATTAAAAGAAAAGAATATATAAAAATTTACGTAAAAAATAATAAAGAAAGGAAGCAAAAATATGATCAAGAATACCGAAAAAATAATAGAGAGAAAAAGCAAGAATATGCTCAAAAATATCGTCAAGACAATAAGGAAAAAATACTAGAATATGCTAGAAAATATCGAGAAAATAATAAAGAAAAGGTGGCAGAATACCGTGAAAATAATAAGGAAAAGAAGCTAGAATGGAATCGAAAATACCGAGAAGCAAAGAAAAATAAAAAAGCAAATTTACAAAATGTTGATCCAATAGTAGAAAATGTTCATTCTGATAATGGAGAAACTTCTTTTGTTAATACACAGAATGATTTTGGAAATAAAGGTAAATTGCCGATCGTTTATGAAGAGGGCATTCGGTCTGAAGAAGGAAATCTTATTAATCGAGAGGAGGAGGAAAAAGAAACTAATTTGGATGAGCAAAATCAAACGTTAGTAGAGGAGCCAAACAGAATTCCTAAGAATTGCATGAAACAGATAAATTTAAATGAGCATTCTTTTGATCTGAACGAGAAACCTGAGGATGAAGATGAGGATTGTTAAAAAAATACAGAAATAAAAGAATAATAAAAAACTTTTTCACATGTCTATTATTTCTATCACAAGAATAAAAAATTAATTTAAAAATACAAAAAATTCTGTAATGCACTTTCCTTCCAATCTACGGAAGTGCATTTTCGTAATGCACCTACGTCTCAATGAGAAAAGTACATGTAACTTGTTATGAAATAAAATTACACAATGTATTTTCCCTTTATATTGCTTACTTAAGTCAATATTGCGTTTAAATTTAATATTTTTTATTAATTCAAAGTAATTAAAATTAATATATTAAGTAAATTTTTTAAATATATTTAGGATAAAACTTGATAGAATATTAATAATTTTAATCTTCAACGCGATATTTTGGAGTTTAATTAATTCTGTTAAGAATAATAAAGAGAAAAATGAGTTAAGTAGAGTTGGGGAAACCTCAAAGGATTTAACTTTGTTTAACGACGGGGCAGAATCATCGTTCAATCCTCAAATTCAAAAATTTGAAGGGACGTTGAAACCAACCCCTAAAATTGCAGAAAAGGACACAACTGTAGGTAATAAAGAAAAAAGGCAAAAATATGGTCAAGAATACCGAAAAAATAATAAAGAGAAAAGAGTAGAATATTTTCGAAAATATCGGCGAGATAATAAGGAAAAGATAAAAGAAAAAAATAGAAAATATCGAGAAATTAATAAGGAAAAATTGGCAGAATACCGTCAAAATAATAAAGAAAATAAGCTAGAATATAATCGAAAATATCGAGAAGCAAAGAAAAACAAAAAAGAAACATTACAAAATATACAGTCAACAGTAGGAGATAATGGAGAAACTTCCTTTGTTAATACACAGAATGATTTTAGAGATAAAGGTAAATTGCCAGTCGTTTACGAAGAGGACATTCGGGCTGAAGAAGAAAATCTTATCAATCTGGGAGAGAAAGCAGGTAACAAAGACGAGGCAGAAACTAATTTGGATGACCAAAATCATTCGGTGATTGAAAAGCCAAATAAAATTTCCGAGAATTACATGAATCAGATAGATTTAAATGAGCATCCTTTTGATCTGAACGAGAAACCTGACGACAAAGAGGAAGATGTTTATTAAAGAATACTAAAAGAATAACATAATACATTTCACATGTTTATTATGTCTATTACAAGAATAAAAAATTAATTAAAAAATACAAAGAATTTTGTAATGCACTTTCCTTTCAATGTGAAAGTGTGTATTATTTATATTACGAAATATTTCTAAGGAATAATTTGCCTTATTATTTAAATTTAATTTAAATTAAAAATTATTACTTTTGATTAATTAGTAGACATAAAATTTAATTTTAAATAAATTTTTAAAATTAATTTACGATGAAACTTGATAGTATATTAATAATTTTAATCGTCAATGCGATATTTTGGAGTTTAATTAATTCTGTTAAAAATAATAAAGAGAAAAATGAGTTAAGTAGAGTTGGGGAAACCTCAAAGGATAACGACGAAGCTGAATCATCGGTTAATGCTCAAATTCGAATGTTAAACCCAAAAGCTAAAATTACAAAAAAGGGCACAACTAAAGATAATAAAGAAGAAAAAAAGTTGAATCAAAGGAAATATATGAGAATGTGGCGTCAAAATAATAAGGAAAAGATAAAAGAAAAAAATAGAAAATATCGAGAAATTAATAAGGAAAAATTGGCAGAATACCGTCAAAATAATAAAGAAAATAAGCTAGAATATAATCGAAAATATCGAGAAGCAAAGAAAAACAAAAAAGAAACATTACAAAATATACAGTCAACAGTAGGAGATAATGGAGAAACTTCCTTTGTTAATACACAGAATGATTTTAGAGATAAAGGTAAATTGCCAGTCGTTTACGAAGAGGACATTCGGGCTGAAGAAGAAAATCTTATCAATCTGGGAGAGAAAGCAGGTAACAAAGACGAGGCAGAAACTAATTTGGATGACCAAAATCATTCGGTGATTGAAAAGCCAAATAAAATTTCCGAGAATTACATGAATCAGATAGATTTAAATGAGCATCCTTTTGATCTGAACGAGAAACCTGACGACAAAGAGGAAGATGTTTATTAAAGAATACTAAAAGAATAACATAATACATTTCACATGTTTATTATGTCTATTACAAGAATAAAAAATTAATTAAAAAATACAAAGAATTTTGTAATGCACTTTCCTTTCAATGTGAAAGTGTGTATTATTTATATTACGAAATATTTCTAAGGAATAATTTGCCTTATTATTTAAATTTAATTTAAATTAAAAATTATTACTTTTGATTAATTAGTAGACATAAAATTTAATTTTAAATAAATTTTTAAAATTAATTTACGATGAAACTTGATAGTATATTAATAATTTTAATCGTCAATGCGATATTTTGGAGTTTAATTAATTCTGTTAAAAATAATAAAGAGAAAAATGAGTTAAGTAGAGTTGGGGAAACCTCAAAGGATAACGACGAAGCTGAATCATCGGTTAATGCTCAAATTCGAATGTTAAACCCAAAAGCTAAAATTACAAAAAAGGGCACAACTAAAGATAATAAAGAAGAAAAAAAGTTGAATCAAAGGAAATATATGAGAATGTGGCGTCAAAATAATAAGGAAAAGACGATAGAATATTTCCGAGAATACCGCTCAAACAATAAAGAAAAAATACTAGAATATTTTCGAGAATATCGTGAAAATAATAAAGAAAAACTGACAGAATCTGGTCGAAACTACTACAGAAATAATAAAGGAAAAAAGCGAGAATGGAATCGAAAATACCGAGAAAATAATAAGGAAAAATTGAAAGAATACCATCAAAATAACAAAGAAAAGAAGCGAGAAGCTAATCGAAAATACCGAAAAAATAATAAGGAAAAATTGAAAGAATATCATCAAAATAACAAAGAAAAGAAGCGAGAAGCTAATCGAAAATACCGAGAAAAAAGGAAAAATAAAAAAGCAAATTTACAAAATGTTGATCCAATAGTAGGAAATGTTCATTCCGATAATGGAGGAGGAAATGATTCTCAAGAAGAAAATCTTTCTGATCAAGGGGAGGAAGAAGGTGACAAAGACGAAACAGAAACTTATATGGATGAGCAAAATCAGACTGTGGTAGAAGAGCCAAACAAAATTCATGAGAATTGATTGAATCAGATAGATTTGAATGAGAAATATTATCCGTTTGATTTGAACGAGAAACCTGAGGACGAAGATGTTTATTAAAGACTAATTTTATAATAAAGAAAAGATGTAAAATATTCAGATAAAATTAAAGAAATGTAAAATTTAATAAATTTGTAGTAAATAAAATTTTTTCAAATTTCAAATCGCCATATCATTCAATAGAGCAAGCAAAACTAAATATAGTAAATCTCTTAATTTAAGCCTTTCCGTACTTTTTGGAAAGCTGAAATATTTTTCCGGTTTTAGATGAGTTTGGTTCGTTATTAATTTGTGTTATCGTTATTATTTTATTCGTTATTATTTTATTTATTATACTGTGGAGCGGCATGATTTTAACACAATCCGAGAGCGCGGTATAAATCTTAAATTAACAACGGCCGGAATAAGTTAAATGTGGCAAATAGTTCATCCACTTGTTTAAGAGTAGTAGTGTATGTGACTTATATACTTGTTAATTATGCCTTAACATTTTTACTTCTCTATCTGGAATCTCTTGATAACAATTTAAGTTGTCCTTTATTTTTAAAAAATACTATTACAAAAATCATTCTCTCAACACGTCACCAATTATCCAAGTCTGGGGTAAAACTCCTCTATTGTTGTTTTTACGTTTTATAAAAAGCATCTCATCTATTTCAACAATAGTATCATCTCCTCCTTAAAAAATTACAGAAGTAGGCTAGGCGCATACGAATAAAACGCATACAAATAAAAGTAATTTACAAATCAAAAAAATTAAAATGGACTTTCCTCTTAATGGGAAAATATATGTATTGCATTATGAAAAAAATTTTTCACATGTCTATTATGTCTATCACAAGAATAAAAAATTAATTTAAAATTTTCTCTCAAAAAGAAAATTTCTCTCAGAGAGAAATCTCTTTAAGTACAAGAGATTTTTTTCGTAATTTTTACTTTTTATTTTCGTAATTCGGAATTTTTTCCGGTATCTTCGTAATCATAATTCGTAACCCAAAAACGCCGTAATTCGTAATTACGATGCAACTCGCACGAAATATTTATTGCGGAATAGTTTGTCCTATGTCATATTATTTAAATTCAATATTAAAGGAAAATTTTCATTCTTGATTAATTAGTAGACATAAAATTAATATTTTAAATAATATTTAAAATTTATTTTATGATGAGACTTGAAAGTATATTAATAATTTTAATCGTCAATGCGGTATTATGGAGTTTAATTAAGTCTGTTAAAAATAATAAAGGGAAAAATGAGTTAACTAGAGTTGGGGAAACTTCAATGAATAACGATGAGGCTGAATCATCGGTTAATGCTCAAATTCGAATGTTAAAACCAAAAGCTAAAATTACAAAAAAGAATACAACTAATGATAAAGAAGAAGAAAAAAGGTTGAATAAAAATGAATATATGAGAATGTGGTGTCAAAATAATAGGGGAAAAAGGCGAGAATCTAATCGGAAATATAGCCAAAATAATCAAGAAAAATTGACAGAGTCCCGTCAAAACAATAAAGAAAAGAAGCGAGAATATGATAGAAACTACAACCTCAATAATAAGGAAAAGAGAAAAGAATGGAATCGAAAATATCGTCAAAATAATAAGGAAAAGAATCGAGAATATCTCCGAGAATACCGCTCAAATAATAAAGAAAAAATGCAACTATATAGTCGAGAATATAGGGAAAAAAACAAAGAAAAACTGAAAGAATACGATCGGAACTACCACAGAAATAATAAAGGAAAAAAGCTCGAATATCGTCGAAAATACCGAGAAAATAATAGAGAAAAGGAGCGAGAATGGAATCGAAAATGCAGAGAAAATAGGAAAAATAAAAAAGCAAATTTACAAAATGTTCAGTCTGATAATGGGGGAGGAAATGATTTTGAAGAAGAAAATCTTTCTGATCAAGAAGAGGAAGAATTTAACAAAGACGAAGCAGAAACTAATGTGGATGAGCAAAACGAAACGTTGGTAGAAGAGCCAACGAGACTTCCTGAGAATTGCATGAATCAGATAGATTTGAATGAGTATCCTTTTGATCTGAACGAGAAACCTGAGGACGAAGACAAAGACGAAACTGAAAACTATGTAGATGAGCAAAATCAAACTGAGGTATCAGAGCCTAATAAAATTCCTGAGAATTGCATGAATCAGATAGATTTGAATGAGAAATATTATCCATTCGACCTGAACGAGAACCCCGAGAACGAAGATGTTTATTAAAAAAACTAATTTTATGAGAAAGAAAAGCTGATAAAATATTAAAAGTAAATTAAAGAAATGTAAAATTTAATAAATTTGTAATAAATAAAATTTTTTCCAATTTTATCGCCAATAAATCGCCTATCCGATAATTCTGTTAAAAATCCTCAAGCAATTCATTGCTTGAATATAACCAATAATCTATTATGTCTTAAGATGTCTTAGGACTAACAGAATTTTCCCGGCAGTTCTCAACCCTCGGTCTGGAAGATTCTACCACGGTTATCATCTCTTAAACTTTATTTGAGAATTTGAGACCACATTTGTGGAATGACTGGGGAAATTAGAAGTAGATTTGTCTATACATAAAGGACAAATAAACAAAAAACAGACAGATTTCAAAAAAACACCACAGATTTTTTCTCGTAATGCACTTTATTTTCGCTGGGAAAATTATATTTTATTACGAAACATGTAAATATGTCTACTATTTGCACTTATGTATTATTTAAATTTTTTTCCTATATTAAAATTTATAATTTTTGGTTAATAATAATATATTAAATAAAATTTTTAAATTTAGAATGCAACTTTTTATTATTTTAATAATTTTAATCGTTAATGCGATATTATGGAGTTTAATTAATTCTGTTAAAAATAATACGTTGATTTTAAGAGTCTGATAAAGTGCGGCGTCTATCATTTTCTTACACGGTTAGTCTCTATCTAAAAATACATCATAATGCACTTTACTTTTAACGAGAAAAAGTATATTTTATTGTGAAATATAGACAATGAATTTCATTACTATAATACCTACTTAAGTTCCTTTAATATTATTTTAAAATTTATTATTTTTTGTTAATATTATATTTTTAATAAATTTTTAAAATTAATTTATGATGAAATTTATTAAAATTTTAATAATTTTAATCGTTAATGCGATATTTTTGAGTTTAATTAATTCAGTTAAAAATAATAAAGAGAAAAATGAGTTAAATAGATTTGAGGAAATCTCTAAGAATTTAACCAATAATAAGGTGTTTAACGATGGGGTAGAATCATCGGGCGATCCCCAAATTCAACTGTTAAAACCAAAATCTAAAATTGCGAAGAAGGGTATAACTATAGATATCGAAGAAAAAAAGTTTAAGAAAAATGAGTATATGAAAAGTTACTGGCAAAAAAATAAGGAAAAGAAGCGAGAACTTGATAGAAAATACTACCAAAAAAATAAGGAGAAGAAGCGAGAATATGATCGAAAATACCGAGAAAAAAGGAAAAATAAACAAACAAGTTTACAAAATGTTTATCCAGACGAAGGAAATGTTCAGTCTGATAATGAAGAAAATTCATTTTTTAATTTAAAGAATGAGGATTTTAGAAATAAAGGTAAAATGCCTATCGTTTATGAAGAGAACATTCAGTATGAAGAAGAAAATTGTTCTAAGCAAGAAGAGAAAGAATGTAACAAAGAAGAAACTGTAAACTATGTGGATGAGCAAAATCAACCTGTAGTAGAAGAGCCAAATAAAATTCCCGAGAAATGCATGAATCAGATAGATTTGAATGAGAAATATTATCCTTTTGATCTGAACGAGGAACCTGAGGATATATATGAGGATGTGTGTTAAAATGAAATAAATTTGAAGAAAGAAATAATGTTAACATTAAAGAATTTTAAAACTTTAGACAACTTTGTATAAAATTTCGAGTACTGATCAGAAATTTTTTTTCTTTGCCTTAAGATGCGGTGTGTCTAATTTGCCAAGTATTTCTCGACCATCGGCTTGGAATGAGTAATTTTTAATTCCTCCATCATGTTTTTACTAATCTATTCGAATCAATGATTAACGAATTAAGCTAAGTCAAACATATATTGTTGCAAAAATCATTTACTCGAAAACTTTCATCAAATATCCAAGTCTGGCGTAAAACTCTCCCTGTGTTGTCGACTCATCTATTTCAACAATAGTAATATTCCTCCTTAAACAGTTCCTCAAATATTTCTTCCAGTCAACGACTATTTATTTTCAATTTGCGTTCACAAGAAACGATAGAAGACATCTTGTAAATTCTGCTAGACAAAACGAACAATGGTTACATGAACGAAATCCAATTGCTTTTGGATTTGTTTTGCTTCTTGCCTTATTTGAATTTTTTAAATTTTTTATGTGTATGTAGTGTGGTTAATGTGTTTAATGTCTAACACTTTATTAATATAACCCTTCATTACTAAAAAAGAGATTATTTTCTGTTAAAAAGATTTTTTGGTAGATATATTCTGTGTAGAATGACATATGGAAACGTTAAGTTGGAAACGTTTAGGAGAAGCAAAGATCTAGTTTTCTTAATCTTTTATTTGGTGCTCATGATAGTAAAAGTTTTTAGGAAAACAAGAAAGAGTTGTCTACATATAAAAGTACAAACAAACAAAAAAACAGACAGATTTCAAAAAGACAACATATTTTTTCCCGTAATGTACTTTATTTTCCTTGAGAAAATTATATTTTATTATGAAACATACAGATATTTGCACTTATGTATTATTTAAATTCAATTCTACATTAAAATTTGCAATTTTTATTTAATAGTTTAATTAATAGTTTAATAATAAAATTAATAGTTTAATAATAAAATTTTTAATTTTAGGATGAAAATTATTAATATTTTAATAATTATTGTCTTGAATGCGATATTTTGGAGTTTAATTAATTCTGTTAAAAATAATAAAGAGAAAAAGGAGTTGACTAGAGTTGAGGAGACCTCAAAGAATTCTACCCCATTTAACGATGGGGTAGAATCATCGGCGGATCCTCAAAATCAAAAATATGAAAAAACGGTAAAACCGAAATCCAAAATTGCAAAGAAGGGCACAACTATAGGTATCGAAGGAAAAAATTTTAAGAAAAATGAGAATATAAAAGATTACTTGCAAAATAAAAAGGAAAAGAAGCGAGAATATGATCGAGAATACTACCAAAATAATAAAGAAAAGAGGAAAGAAACTGAACGAAAATACTACCAAAAAAATAGAGAAAAGAAGCGAGAAAGGAACCAATAATACTACCAAAATAACAAAGAAAAGAAGCGAGAAAGGCAACGAAAATACCGAGAAAGAAGGAAAAATAAAAAGGCAGATTTACAAAATGATCATTCTGATAATGGGGAAACTTCTTTTGTTAATACACAGAATGTCGATTTTGGAAATAAAGGTAAATTGCCAATCGTTTATGAAGAGAACATTCGGTCTGAAGAAGAAAATCATTTTAACCAAGAGGAGGAAGAATGTAACAAAGACGAAACTGAAAACTATGTGGAAGAGCAGAATCAATCTGTGGTAGAAGAGGCAAAGATGAATCAGATAGATTTGAATGAGAAATATTATCAGTTTGATCTGAACGAGGAACCTGAGGACATAGATGAAGATGTTTGCTAAAAAGAAATAAATTTGAAGAAAGAAATAATGTTAAAATTAAAGAATTGTAAAACTTTAGACAACTTTGTATAAAATTTCGAGTACTGATCAGAAATTAAATTTTCTTTTATGCCCTAAGAGCGGTATGTCTAATTTGCCAAACATTTCTCGACCATCGGCCTGGAATGAGTAGGCTGTGGCCGACATTTCTTTCATTTGTTTTAGATAGTTGCAGTGTGCGTGACTTAAATAATTTTTAATTGCTCCATCATGTTTTTGCTTATCTATCCGAACCAATGATTAACGAATTAAGCTAGGCGCTTTCGAAAACAAAATCATTTACTCGACACTATTAACTAACTACACAAGTCTGGGGTAAAACCCCACAATGATTTTTCCTGTGTTTTGTGACAGGTAAGTGGTTGAAATGAGAATACAAACCTTTATTAACACAAAACAGGATTATTCTATGCTAAAACGATTTTTCGGTAGCATATATTTTGGGTTCCAGAAAGCGATAATGCTTTCGTGGACCTTCACCCTGACTTATAAGTCAATGTAAAGGTCTACGAAAGCATTGGCGTGGTTTACGTATTTTATATTGGAGGGGGGGGGGGCATGCGGACATGTCCTTAGAAAAAACAGAAAAGAGACTTGTCTATAAAAGTGCAAACACACAAACAGAGATGATTTGATCTTTTCTGGGTTATTATCCTCTTCCCAGGCTTAATCATCTGAACAAAAAAATTTCCCAATTACTTTCCTTTCATCGACAAAATTATATTTTATTAAGAAATATATATTTTTACTTATGTATTATTTAATTCTTTAACATTAAAATTTATATTTTTGGTTAATTAATAGTGAATAAACTAATATCTTAAACTTGTCTATAAAAGGACAAACAAGCAAAAAACAGACAGACTTAAAAATATTTTATTATAAATTAATATAAAAATATAAAAATATTATATTTTTATTAATATAAAAATACTTAAAAATATTTAAAAATATTTTATTTTTGGTTAATAAAATATTTTTAAAAATTTTAAATTTAGGATGAACCCTATTAGAATTTTAATAATTCTAATATTCAATGCGATATTATGGAGTTCGATTAATTCTGTTAAAAATAATAAAGATCAAAAGGAGTTGCCAAGAGTTGAGGAGACCTCAAAGGGTTTGACTAATAATAAGATGTTTGATGAAGGGGCAGAATCATTGGTCGATCCCCAAATTCCACTGTTAAACCAAAATCTAAAATTTCAAAGGAGACAACTATGGGTAATGAAGAAAAAAAGTTAAAGAGAAGAGTGTATATGAAAAGATACAGGCAAAATAATAACGAAAAAATGCGAGAGCTAGGTCGAAAATACTACCAAAACAACAAAGAAAAGATTCTAGAAAGTGTCCGAAAATACTGCCAGAAAAATAAAGAAAAAAGGCGAGAAACTGAACGAAAATACTTCCAAAAAAATAAGGAAAAGAAGCGAGAAAAGAATCGAAAATACCGAGAAAGAAGGAAAAATGGAGAAACTTCTTTAGCTAATAAACAGAATGATGATTTTAGAAATAAAGGTAAAATGCCAATCGTTTATGAAGATAATATCCAGTATGAAGAAGAAAATCGTTCTAATCAAGAGAAGGAAGAATGTAACAAAGGCGAGACTGAAAACTATGTAGATGAGCAAAATCAAAAGCTGGTAGAAGAGCCAAAGAAAATTCGTGAAGATTGCATGAATCAGATAGATTTGAATGAATATCCGTTTGATTTGAACGAGGAACCTGAGGATGAAGACAAAGACGAAGCTTATATGGATGAGCAAAACCAAACTGTGATAGAAGAGCCAAATAAAATTCCCGAGAATTGCATGAATCAGATAGATTTGAATGAGAAATATTATCCTTTTGATTTGAACGAGAAACCTGAGAACGAAGTTGAAGATAGTTGTTAAGAAAGAGATATATTTGAAAAAACCCGATTAAAAAAAAATTTTCAAAGACCGATTAAAAAATAATTTTATAATTTTAAACAACTTTGTAGTAAACAGTATAAAATTTCAAGCATAAAATTTCAAGTTTCGCGTCTTATGAAAAGCGACCCATTTCAAAAATATTATATCGATCCTTAAAAACAGGAATCTTACAGAAAATAAGAATGTATTAATGCGAGGTTTGCTGATGTTTCCAGCATATACACCTCGAATAATCAGTCAACGACTGTATTATGATCTATTTTCAATTCTCGTTCACTAAATGTATAGAAGACGTTAATACTTTTCATTAATTCTTCACAATTTGAGAAAATATTCCAAGTTGCAAAGCTACTATAAAGCCATTATTTCCTCACTCCACTAAACATTTAACTTAAAAGTTCACTTGTCTATAAAAGGGCAAACAAACAAAAACAGACAGACAAACACTTCTCGATTATATAATAAGATGACATATGATGATGACATGTCGGCAAAAAATTTTCCGCAATGTAATAATGACCTTTCTATGAGAAAATTATATTATATTACGCCCCTTAATGGGAAAAGTATGTGTATTGTATTATGAAAAAAATTTTTCACATGTCTATTACAAGAATAAAAAATTAATTTGAAAAAAATTCTCTCAAAGAGAAATCTCTCAAAGTACAAGAGATTTTTTCGTAATTTTTATTTTTTATTTTCGTAATTCGGAATTTTTTCCGGTATCTTCGTAACCATAATTCGTAACCCAAAAAATTCGTAACCCTCATACGAAATATTTATTACGGAATAGTTTGCCCTATGTAATATTATTTAAATTCAATATTAAAGGAAAATTTATCATTTTTGAATAATTAGTAGACATAAAATTAATATTTAAAATTATTTTTTAAATAAATTAATTTATAATGAAACTTGATTGTCTATTAATAATTTTAATCTTCAATGCGATATTATGGAGTTTAATTAATTCTTTTAAAAATAATAAAGATAAAAATGAGTTAACTAGAGTTGAGGAGACCTCAAAAAATTTAACTAAAATGTTTAACGATGAGGCAGAATCTTCGGTTCAAAAATCTGAAGGGGTATTAAAACCAATTGAAAATAAAGGCAAAAAAATAATCAGTAAAGAAAGGAGGAGGGAAATTAGCCGAAAGTACTACCAAAATAATAAGGAAAAAATTCGAGAAAGAAAACGCATTTACCATCAAAATAATTGGGAAAAGAAGCGAGATTATGATCAAAAATACTATCAAAATAATAAGAAAAAGATTAATGAGAAAAGGCTAGAATATAACCGAAATTACATAGAAAATAATAAGGAAAAGAAGAGCGAATGGAATCGAAAATATCGAGAAAAAATGCAAAATAAACAAGCAGGGTTAGAAAGTGTTTATTTTAAGGAAAGAAATGTTCATTCTGATAATAAAGAAGGAACTTCTTTTGAAAATTCACAGAATGAGGATTTTGGAAATAAAGGTAAATTGCCAATTGTTTACGAAGGGAACATACATTTTGAAGGAAATCCTTCTTATCAAAAGGAAGAAAGTAAAGACGAAACAGAAACTTGTGTGGATGAGCAAAACCAAACTGTGGTAGAAGAGCCAAATAAAATTCCTGAGAATTGCATGAATCAGATAGATTTGAATGAGTATCCTTTTGATTTGAACGAGAAACCTGAGGACGAAGATGAAGATGTTTGTTAAGAAAGAGATATATTTGAAAAACTTTAGACAACTTTGTATAAACTTTCAATCATTCCTATCAGAATTTCATTTTTCATTACCTTCTATCAAGTCTGTATGGGTTTCGCTTTTGGGTATTTTCTCAAATTTCTTAAAAATCTATCAGACTGCACTATCATTTCAATGATAAATATATTGCTTGTTAATACAAAATATAAATATAATTTACACTATTTTCATTTACATATATTAATTGTTTAAATACAATATTAAATGCACTTTCCTTTAATTGTACATGCACTTTTTATTTTTTATTATAAAGCGTAAAACAATTTTCCCAATGTGTTTTTTTCATCTATATTGCTTATTTAAATTCAATAAATTTAATTATCTTGGTTAATTAGTAATACATAAAATAATATTTTAAATAAATTTTTAAAAATTAATTTATGATGAAACTTGATAGTATTTTAATAATTCTAATCGTCAATGCGATATTTTGGAGTTTAATTCTGGTAAAACTAATAAGGATCAGAATTTGTCAAATAGAGTTTCAAAGCTAGTACAGAGCCCTTATTTCCTCACTCCACTAATCATTTCACTTAAAAGTCCACTTGTCTATAAAAGGACAAACAAACAAAAAACAGACAAATTTGAAAAAAACACCACATATTTTTTCCCGTAATGCACTTTATTTTCGCTGGGAAAATTATATTTTATTACGAAACATAAATATGTTTACTATTTTCACCTATGCATTATTTAAGTTCAATTCTACATTAAAATTTATAATTTTTAGTTAATAAAATATTTAAAATAAAAATTTTTAATTTAGGATGAAACCTATTATTATTATAATAATTATCACATTCAATGCGATATTTTGGAGTTTAATTAATTCTGTTAAAAATAATAAGGAGAAAAACGAGTCAACTAGAGTTGAGGAGACCTCAAAGGATTTAAATAAAATATTTAACGATGAGGCAGAACCATCGGTTGATTCTCAAATTCAAAAAGATAAAGAAACGGTAAAACCAGAAATTACAAAAAATGACAGTAATAGAAAAGAATATATGAAAATTTACCGGAAAAATAATAAAGAAAAGAGGCGAGAATACATTCGAGATCACTACCAAAAAACTAAAGAAAAAATGAGAGAAAGTGCGCGTAATTACTACCAAAATAACAAAGAAAAGAGGCGAGAATGGGATCGAAAATACCGTCTAAACAATAAGGAAAAGAGACGAGAACTTAATCGAAATTACTATCAAAATAATAAAGAGAAGGAGCTAGAACGGAATCGGAAATATCGAGAAAGTAGGAAAAATAAAAAGGCAGATTTACAAAATGTTCATTCTGAAGGAAGCAACGATCCTTCTGATAATAATGAAGGAACTTCTTTTGTTCGGAATGATTTTAGAGATAAAGGTAAATTGCCAATCGTTTACGAAGAGGGAATTCAGCATGAAGAAAGAAATCATTTTAACCTAGAGGAGCAAGAATATGGAGAAACAGAAACCAATTTGGATGAGCAAAATCAAACCGTAGTTGAAGAGACAAACATGAATCAGATAGATTTGAATGAGAAATATTATCCTTTTGACCTGAACAAGAAACCTGAGGGCGAAGATGAGGATTTTTATTAAAAAAGAAATATTTTTGAAAAAAATAACACTTTTAAATTATTCAGAGTAGATTAAAAATTGTAAACATTAAACAACATTGTATAAACTTTCGAGCATTTCTATCACAATTTTACGTTTCAATTATATACTAAGTTGAGTTGTGGTGTGCATTTTGCTTCACCCGAGTTTGTATGGGTTCCGCATTGGGCCTTTCATTCAAACTTGTTAAAAAATTATCACACTTCACTTTCATTTCAATGATTGTTTCAATCACGGGAATGCACGTGATGAAATTTGTGTGGCGCATTCCTTTTTTAGATTTTTATTTAATCTTCCCCCCTTCTTTTGCAAATATTTATTCTTTATTTTAATTTTTTCCTTTTTTTTTTAATTTGAGCCCATCTTTCATAATTGGGCTTCAACAATTTATCATTTTTGATTAATTAGAATTAAATAAAATTAATATATTAAATAAATTTTTAAATTAATTTTGGATAAAACTTGATAGTCATTTACTTGGTTTGAGATATGCGTATATGTGTGGTTTAAATATTTGTTAATTGCTGACTTTAATTTTATTTAAAAAAATTTATTTCTGTTGATTTTTCTTGTCAATTTTCAATGTTTTAAACAATCGATTTGTCAAATACACTTTAGAATTACCTGTTTATTTTTCTCTAATTAAGAAATGGAATATTTTGTCCTTACTAATGTCGACGGAAGTGCAATTTTGTAATGCACTTACGTCTCAGTGAGAAAACTACATGTAACGTGTTATGAAATAAAATTACACAATGTATTTTCCCTTTATATTGCTTATATATGTTAATATTACACTTAAATTTAAAATTTTTTATTAAATCAAAGTAAATAAAATTAATATATTAAGTAAATTTTTAAAATTAATTTAGGATGAAACTTGTCGGTATATTAATAATTTTAATCTTCAATGCGAAATTCTGTTAAACACAACAAGCAACAAAATAAAGTTCAGGAAGCATCAAAGGATCTAACTAGCGGCGGTGGGGTGGAATCTTCTGTCGAACCTCAAATTCAAAAAAATGAAGAAATCACAAAAAAGAACACAAGTAAAGGTAATGGAAAAAAGTTTAATAAAAGTGAATATATGAAAATTTACCGTCAAAACAATAAGGAAAAGAATCGAGAATACTTTCGAAATTACTATAAAAATAATAAGGAAAAGTGGAAGGAATATGATAGAAAATGCATCCAAAATGAAGAAAAAAAACGAGAAAGTTTCCGAAATTACTACCAAAATAATAGAGAGAAGAAACGATAATATTATCGAAAATATCGAGAAGCTAATAAAGAAAAGATCCGAGAAAATGAACGGAATTACTACCAAAATACTAAAGAAAGGAGGAGGGAATGTAATCGGAAATACCGAGAAAGAAGAAAAAATAAAAAGGCAGGTTTACAGAATGTTGGTTCAGATACTGGAGAAAATTCATTTGTTAATATACAAAATGATTTTAGAGATAAAGGTAAATTGCCAATCGTTTATGAAGAGGACATTCGGTCTGAAGAAGAAAATCATTATAACCAAGAGGAGGAAGAATGTAGCGAAACAGAAACTAATTTGGATGAGCAAAATCAATCTGAGATTGAAGAGGCAAATATGAATCAGATAGATTTAAATGAATATCCTTTTGATCTAAACAAGAAACCTGAGATCAAATATAAAAATTCTTTTGA